CACACACACACGCACACAAACAAAAGGTGTAAAAATCCTATATTTGCCCAGTGGATTCCCACTGATAGAGCAGAACTATTCCCACAACCCACAGAGAGGGACAGCCTGCGTGGGCGGTGGGTTGTCATTCAAATCCACATGTACGAGGGCAAGTGATGCATGAAGGGAGTTTGAGATTTCACTGTCATCTTCAGCCTGGTCCCCCTGCCTCCATTTCTGCTCCAATGCACTGCTGACCACATAGACTGTGTAATCTGTGCCACGACTAAAACTGACTGCAAATCGTTTAACTTCAAATACAATTTGAAGTTAAAGCTAAAGCCCCTCTCCATGTGTTTGAACTAATTCTACAAAGTTGTGTGTAATTTTACTAGAGTGCTTATTATATTTAGTGTTATACTGTATGATTCAGTAATGCATCCTTCCCTGTAAATGTAGTTTTTAAGAAAGTTTTACACTACACAGTATTACTACTATTACTACTACTACTGCCGCTGTAACACTGCCTGCCGCTGGGTGCCGCTGTTGCATCCTGATCAAATTCGCTGTCCATGGTCCTGAAAAGATCAACTGCGAGGCTCAATACGGGGCTTTTCAAATGTTCCCCCCTGTCAGTCACCACCAAATAGACACACATCCATCTATAGATCCTAATGTGCCAAAGCAAGTGCCTAAAGAAATATGAATCACTCATTCCTCTTTCAGAGAATAACTGGAACCAGCACAAAGAGAGAAAGGGTCCTTTGTTAGGTTGCATGGAAGAGAAGTAGTCTATAAAAAACTGCTAAATGCTTTGCTGGTACTGACGCAAGATCAAAGAAAGTTGGGTTTTTGAGTGCTTTTAATGACATGAACTTAAAAGCCATAGATTGCGCCATACAGAGGTGAAAGCGGCTGCGGGGGCTTCCGACCATTCGCATCTGTCCGTCACTGATCCGCTGGACCAGTGTCAAGTCAGCCAGAGGAAGCTGTAAGGATACCGGAAACCTTGAGAATTCGCCTCCAAAATAAAAGGACAACATGTTTTTCATTAAGAAGCGGTTTAAGTGGTTCAGCTTATCGCATACAGGGATAATTGTGTTACTGAAATTAATTTAAAAAACGATTAATCAGCAGGCCTCTTTAGACCTGCGTTGTCATCAAACAAAATAGAATATAGACACTGTAACAAAAAGATCCTGACCAATATCACACCTACAGATTGACTGTCACAACAAAAAGCAATTCACTTTTGAATGTTTTACTTCATATTGCGAGTAACTGTAAGTGTTGAATGTGCGTTTTGTTGCATTTTTCATAAACAACAAAAAAATGACATGATTTGCGGATTTCTTTTAGGATGATTCCCATTATTAAAGTTCCTTTGTTTCTCTTAGTTTATGTATTTTTGTGGATTCTTTTCTATAACACATTCTCCTCTAAGGCAGAACTAATGATTTTAATTAATTAATAAATAAAAAAGGACACTATTTGACATCATTAGACACCGTTTTTTTAGACAAGGCTATTATTTTGAAAATATGAACCGGACGTGTACCACTTCACAGAATCTAACTTGCCAGCTGAGAAGTGAACGAGTACGAGGCAATACGGCTGACTTGCCACACTCGCGCTGGATTCACTGTGAAGTTAAAACCGTCCACGAAGCTAGCTCTCCCCTCCGCGAGGAAAACGCAGATACAAATATAAAACACAGACACTTTTATTCACCCACATGTTTGGCCACAGCGCCATTTTTTGTAAAGAAGTCGCATCGGGATATGACTCCACGGTCGAGACAACCTGCAGCGGACTTCACCTGAGTGTTTCACCTGACGACGGAATGACGCTTTAAATGACATTATCAGACACAGGGAAAAAGGAGACTTGCTGAATGAAACTTTGTGCCATTTCTCTCCCGGAGGGATAAAGAAGCACCCATGGGCGGCGTGTTCGTTTAAAAATAACCGAGTTGACCGCCGCTGGATGGGACGCAGATAAAAAAAAAATGTTTGGCCACCTCAAGTTCCAGGTTAGGAGGTTAGCAGCAATGTCAGGGGTCGCTCGTTTTGGAAATGAATGATCACTGGCAGCACCGACGGTAAAATAATGGTCAGAAGATGTCTAGTAACGTTCAAACCGTTCAGGTAAGAGACAAAGAGATAACGACGTTTATTCTGTACCCAGTTTCCCTTTAGCCTCGAGCATTGTGGGTTAGCATTGGTTTTTTTTAATAGTGTGTTTTCACTGCGAACATATTTGGCACACATTGTATCACACAGATGTCCCAAAGCTGATTGGAAAGATGCTTCTCACTGCGAGGAATGGCTGCACTGAGTTGTAAAGCCCTGGCACCATGCACTACTTTGGCATTGTGTGCGTTATGTGGAGGAGCTGAGATGTGTGTGTGTGCCACCACAGACACACACACACACACCAGATGTTTCTCTGCTAGATGAATTAGATTTAGATCCACATGGATAAAGGGACGACATTGTAAATAAGCCTGTGCTACCAGTCAGCCGAGCTAAGTAAGTTTCTTCCTGCATGGATGGCTCTATTATCACTGTGTGAGTGGGCTTTGTTTGTGAAGATATAAAGAGGAAAACATGTTAACCACTTAAACAGTTGATGCTTTACAGTCCACTGAGCCATGCTGTGCCAACCTACTTTATTTGATTTGCCCTGATAGACATAGAGTAACAGCAGGCTTAAACTCTTTAAATGATTTCCTCTATTTCCTCATAATTCTGGGAGTTCAGTGGTACAAAAAAGCTAGAGGATTTCCTCCAGTGAAGACTACCATTCACCCTTCATCCCACACCCCACACCTCCCACCTGCTAATACTGTTGGATTTTCAAAACATTTTCTCCTGTAGGCTGGAGCAATGATGCAGCAGCTGTGCAGCTGTAAAAAAAAGAAAGTGGTTCCCGGTGATTCACCTGCTATTTACTCAGTAAATCAAGCATGTATTCAAATACAGTCAATTAAGCAGCTTTGTGACAATATGCTACACTATTACTGACAACACAGAGTGAGCAAGTGATTTGTGTGTGTATTACATGCAGAATAGCCTAGATCTTGTGTCTCAGGAATTGTACTACAAATAGTAGAAAAGACAGGTTTTTAAAAGATGACTTGGGTCATTTTGCATCTCTTTGATAGTTTTGACAAGGAAACAAAAACAATGAGAGAGACCGAGGATGTTGTGAATATGCATCTTAGATCACTGGAGCACCAGGACACCCCCAGTAGACAGATGTCAGGCAATAAGAGGGAACAATAGGTACAAATAATAGGTCCTTACTTTTGAGCAGCAGGAATATTAACTGGCAAGTCTAATTAATTGACAAGAGCTAAAAGCTGAAAAGTGTTAATAACCAAAAAATGCTGCTTTTCAGACTGTAGTCAATGAGAGATTTTAAAATCAACATATTCTGTGTACGGACGCCATTAGATCCGAATCCTTTCCAGAATTTAGGCTAGTTCAGGCACCAGGAAAAGTTTCTTGAAATACACCACAACTAACGGCTACGCCACGGCTCCTCCACGCCTGGCAGAACTCCTCTCGCTTCAAAATCATCTACCTTGAGGCAAAATCTGATAAGTCTATATGTGTGAGGAAGCCAATTAGCTGATAGCAGATCTCTCCTTCTGATCCAATTATAGGGAGCAGAGCATTTACTTTAAGCCTGTTAATTAAAGACTCGTCAGGCAGGACCGGGGCGTAATCCTCTCATATCACCCACCTAACGCCAGTTTGGAGAACGGCTAAATGATAGCAGAGGAAACGATCGCCCTAGGACACCATCAGGCCAGCTTCTGCACACCCACATTTGCTGAATATTGTTCTTATTTTTCTTATATTTCCCCCTCCTTTCTCTTTCCATCAATCTCCGTGTTGCTTACGAGCATTTCTACTTTTCTTCTGTCCTGCGCACACACATAAACACACGCACGGTTTATTAATCCTTCGGTCACACAGAGAGGAATAGATCAAGTGGATTAGAAAACCTAACTGTAAAATCAGCCAATTTACTTCATGTCCTCTGTGTAACCCCTTTAGCTTTCAAACTGTTATTGGGCCCTTCTAAGTTTTCCGCACTATAATAATACAACGCGCTGAAGATGAGGTCTGAGTTAAGCTATTATGATTTTCAGCTTCCACCTACTTGGCTTGATGACCAGATGGTAGTATAGTGAGTGCATAATCCAAGCAGGTATAAGTATCTGTGGGTCATGGCGTCATATTCATGACAAATAATCCCTTCATCGTAATGATTGTATAGGATTGGATTCATATCAGTTAACGTATTGCTGCTCTGTGGTCCTCTGACAATGATTGAGCTATTCTAATTACTTCTGCAATATGCCTGGAACAGATGGGGGTAATATTTTATTATATCATGATATTACAGTATCCTGGGAGAGACAGAGAGGTAAATGAGAAACGATAGTGAATGTGTCAGCTGCTTAGAACCTGGGACTTTAATGTAAATACAGTATGATTATAAATTCCCCATGTTTTCAGTGCAAATCAATAAAGAAATGCTACATGCAGGAGTGCCCATTGACATTCTGACACTAATCCTGCTGATCGCAGTGATCATCACATTAAAGTGTTGCCACACACTAGCAAATGGAGTTGATAATCAGAATTGGGAAGTCTAATTTCAACATGTATTCATACGCAAATTACAGTTTGTCTTGTCGCAAGTGTAATCAGTACGGCAATTCATTAGATCCAACTCCAGTTCAGAATGTTATCTGATCACGTTGCCTACGAAATGTATGGAAAACAAAGATAAATGACCAATTTAACAGTAATGACCGTATAGCTGCATTATTTTTTTGGATAGCCGTAATCATGTTTGATGCAACCCATTAGATGAGAGCCTTGATGATGATAATTATTCACTGTCAATATGTTCTATGTGTCGTACTCTCAAAGAGCCCCATCCCACCGTCTGTCCTTGAAGCCAGCGTATTCACGACTCGGGACAAGACACATTGGCTCTGTCTTGGAATATAGTCACCCTGGGAGCGTGCCAAACCACCACGCTCTATACTTAACAGATTATTCAACATCATCTCGATCCCTTTGGGTCAATCAGATCACTTCAGCAAATGTTCTTTTAAGTGGCCATTCTTCCTTGCTGTTGATAGGAAGTCGTTTCTTAAGGCCTCATCAATAATGAGAGGTTTTGTTCAGAACTTTGCGTGACCGGAGCTACTTACTGTACCATTCTCGGAGGTGCTGTCAGATTTCGCACTGGGAGGTGCATTCAAGCAAACAGCTCTTGCTTGGCTTTGAAGAGAAAGGAATACTTATGAATAATTTATTCATTTGTTATGCTTAGATTCAGTTTTCCAACCTTTGATGCAGAAGTTAAAAGTTTAAAAGTTACCTGTATAAGGCTGCTTTCCTTTCTTCCGCTTTAAGACATTACCTTTGCTTTAGAAGCATTCCTTGTAGCGGATATGATTGTTGGAACCCTATGTGTTTTTGAAAAATGACAATGCCTTTCCCCAAACAAATGTACATGATGAGGGGGTTTGGAAAAATGGCTTCAGCTGCTAAAATATATAGTATAAGCACTGGAGCCATACCTCGTCACATAAATCTGCCTTTGTAATGCAGTGCTTCTACAAAGTGTTCCAAGAATTTTCTCTCGCGGGGGCAGGGGTGGGGTTAGCAGCAGAGCGGCATGCATTTTTAAAATGGGACTTGACCTGTTAGTCATGGAGGCTGACTAGCATTTTGTCCAGTGGATGAGAATCACAGACAGACTTTGCCTCCCTGGTTCCCCAAAGAGCCATGGTATCATAAGATAACCTTTGATCCATATACACTGAAGAGAGCAGCTTAACTAGGGCAGGATTTACACGGATACAAAAGACCTGATTTTCAACTCTTTTAAGTCAAAGATCTGAGTCTCTCATGGCTGTCTAACAAGAGAGAATCCACACAGAGTCTCATTTTATTTTCCCTTCTGAGGTACGGTACAGTTTCGAATATCAGATATGTGCCACAAAGACAGGTGTAGCAGCGGTATGTGTTTCAAAGCTCAGATCTGCAACACATATCAGAGCCCACATCCTGATATATTTTAAAATGTAAGCACCATATAAGCACCAGTTTAATAGATAGGTTCACATTTTTTAATTTTAAAAGCATTCACACATGCCCATATGTAGATTGGAAGAGTTATTGGTGGCTGAAATCATTTGTTCCTAATCCCTTACATTATGAATTTCATTATAAAACAATCTCTCCAGGGTCAGCATGGACAGGAGAAACTACTGCAGCAACTGATACAACATCCCCATGGATTCATATTTATGAACTTTTCTTTGTTCGTAATGTAACATCCAGCTGTAAATTCTTTTGCAGAGGATGACAAATATTTGAACTTTGGATGGCAATATGTATACTGTCAACATTGCCGGTGTTGTGCTCTTGTCCACTAACTCTAGCTCTTGACATTTGGTTTGGCGTCATCCGTCTAGCTGAATCCATGTGCATGCAGCATAACTCAGGGTGACACAGTATACAGTTATTCACACAGTGAACACTGTATTGCATAGCCAATTGTTGACCCAATTTTGTGTGATTCAGACAGAGGCGTGAGTGAGACCAGTCTGCTGTGCCCCATTCGGAAATGCACACATCGCTCTCAATGTAAAGTGTCCAGATACATTCAGTGACACCCGAACAACATTATTGTAAGATTCATAAATCTAATCTAATCTAACACGTTTCAGACCCGTCATAATAGCTGTATTTTGACGGACATTTCTGTAGATTATGATGTTATAGATGCGACACTATACAAAACAAAACAAAAAAGTTGGTTTGTGATGTTGGAGAGCTCTGTGTGTGCGCACCTGTTTCCTAAAGCCTCGCAAACTGTGGCATTTGTGCTCTAAACACCTAACAAACCTGACAGTTTGATAAATTACAAAATACGACCGCAAATAACAGAGATGCTGATTCGTACAGGAGTAATATTATCACATGACCTCTGTTTGGCGAAACGTGGTCATGGTAGATGTGTAGATTCACATGGGATTAAAATCACAGACGACCTCTGCACTTATCACAAATTGCTAGACGTCCCCCGGTAATAGTAATCCCCTGCAAATAGGGCTTTGGTTGTCTTTACGCGCTCACCTTAAAAATGTTTTGGCTGTCTTTTGTCCTCTTCTTGCCTTTTCTTCCCTTCCTCTCTGCATCCCCTTTGATATTACATAAATAATCACATCCATTTTGCCTGCACTTAGCTTAAACTTCTCAACCTTATTTTGGCAGTTGTCTTAGATGTACGCCAACCGATAACATCAAAACACTAAAATGTTTCAATTGCCCTTTGGCTTCAAGTTTCTGCTGTTCTGCGTGTGATCATTGCTCTATTTATGCTCTGCCTTCTGGAAGTGCTGCCTGCTCTTTCTTGAGTGTCTCTTTGTTTCTCTTCTCGCCTCCTCTTTTGCTGCCCTCCACGTTCTACCTCATCCTCTCGTCTCTGTATCTCTATTTTCTCTCCTGCTTTTCTTTCCTCGCCGCCGATCATTCTGTCCTGCGAACCTGTCTTCCGTAATTATTGGCCTGTTCGTCTGCCTACATTCTTCCTTTTTGTTTGTCAGGCTTCTCGCTCTTTATCCACTCTCTTTTCTGCCTCCGAATACCTCACCGTGCGCCCCTCTCTCTCTATCCTCATCTTCATATCGCTGCTCACCCAAAACATCTATTTACCTGCCCTTCCCTATAAATATGTCTATCGATCTCAACTCCCTTTTCATCTATTCCCTCTCTCCTCCCCCTGTGTTGCAGGATATTCGTGGTGGGAATTGGCTTCTTCAGCCTGTGCTTTCTAATGACCTCTCTGGGGGGGCAGTTCTCAGCCAAGAGACTGGGGGACTCCCCCTTCACCATCCGCACAGAAGGTACTGACATGTGCCGTGAGTGTGTGAGAATGCATGTGTGTGCGTTTTGTGTGTAAACAGTTCCTTCACGGAGCTGAAATGCTGTAATGTCAGTGCATATTGCTGTGCTATAACTCTCCATGGTCCTACTGGCGCTTCCCAGCTATGTGCCACTTTGTCAAAGCTGCACCACTTGTCACTGGAAACATAAAACATAAAATGGCCCAGAATGCTTGGATGAGGTAAAGAAATCAAGTAGATGTAAATTCTATTGCAGAACCAGTATGACCAATGAATTTCATTCACACAACCCTGAGCGGAAAAGCTGCTTTTTCTATAGTTGTAGTCAAGTGGTGAGAGATAAATCAGGATGCTTATAAAAGAAGATTGATATGGTGGGTGGGATGTGAAGTAGAGAGGCCAGCCTGTAGCTTGAAAGTTATTGGTCTGATCCCCAGCAGTGACAGCAGTGTGGGTGGCTAATGTTATATCTGTGGGTTTTACCCCCACTAGTTTCAGGGATTCTGCACTTGGTAGCCCTCTTCTCTCTCTGACACAAGCAGCATATTATGGGGCTGTGTGTGTGTGTGTGACATACTGTATATGTGAAAATGCATGTGAATATATATGTATTGTGAAATATTATTTACTCAGCTGACAGTCATTTACAGTAAAAACACTATAACACAACAACAACAAAATGAATCCATTTATTGGGGTGGACTGTATCTTTAATGACCGGAGAGGAACCATAACAAATCCAGCCTCAAATGCATTTTACAGCTCTCCTGAACCCTCTCCAGATTCTCTGCAGGACTCACCATTATATGAAAGTCCATTAAAGCAAACCTATGTTACTTTTGCTGTAACCACAATTGGAAATTACGGTATGATGACTCATTGAAAAATTCCTGCATTTCCTGAGATTGTCCTGAGTCAGTGGTTGAGAAATTCCCACTAACAAAGACCACAGCATTTATACATACAAATTAGTTTACTGTAATAACAGGTAGGGTCGTGATGGCTTGAATGAGGATATGGTACAGAGGGATGGATGGAATCAATGAGAGGCCTGAAATCATCGAGGAACCCAGGGAGAGACGAGGTCTTGTCCCTGAACTTAGAATTACCTGGAAGTGAAACATAATACTTTTACAGCCCACAGTAATGTTAAGATACTATTCTGTGTGTTTATTTTCCACAGACAAATACTGTAAATAACCCTAACACCCATACATTTCCATATCACTGCACACTGCGCAGCAGTTCCTGTACGTGTGTTGCATGGAAACTGAAGCCTGTGTCCAGCAAAGCCATATCTCACCAGTGAAGTGTCATTAACACATTTGTCGGCCAGCAATATCACGTGACCCGGAGTGAAGGCTGACTGCCGGTGGCAGGGCAGGAGAAAAAGAGAGCACCATTGTAATCTCCTGCCGTAGAAGGTGCGAAGATTGAAAGTCAGAGGTCATTTTTTGGAGGCCAGACCCTCTTCTAGCACTGCTAGAGTTAAAATAAGCAATTCTACGCTCTGAGACAACTTCCACATGTGTGTAGCATGTGTGTGGGCATGACAGTAGTTGAAGCATACCATTAGTCAGTTTATGTGGGCGTGAGAGCAACTGAAAGACAGGGCAAGTGCTACGTTAAGTGTGAATCAGTCAGGTGGTGTTGTGTGTCACTATGTGCAGTAATCCATCAGAGAGAACGATGAACCAGGGACAATGGAAACAGAAAATAGTGGACTTAGCTGAATGGATAGATGCAGAAGCATATTAAAAATCCGGCTCCTTGTCTGTGTGTGGTGTGTGTGAGAGAGAGAGAGAGAGAGAGAGAGATAATGGGGGGGTCATTTGGATTACTGTGTTTGTGACAAATTGAGATTACTGTGTTGTGTGATAAATTAGGATTAGTGTGTGTGTCAGTGTGTCTTAGTAAAATGTACTTGATTAATCAACTACTCATGCACTGCTGCTTGGGAAGACATCTGGAGCAAGCTCATTAAAAACTGTATAGTGTCCAACCGTGCTTCCCCATAGGAGTTTACTTTGTGTGTGTGTGTGTGTGTGTGTGTGTGTGTGTGTGTGTCTCTAAATGTATGTGTGTGTATCCCTTTATGTACGTGAATACTTTTGTGCTTGTCTATGCACAAAAGATTCCCTGTATCTCTGTCATCTACAGTATGCCTGGGTACATTTGTTTGTGTGTATGCCCCACTGTTTCACCCTCTTTTCTCCCTTTATGCGTGTCTCTGTGGTCTACTACCTCACACTGTTTCTGCTGCTTTCTCCCTTTGAGTGTGTATGTGTGAGTTTATGTATGTTTGTGATGAGCTGGCAGGAAATTGGCTGTTAAATGGGGCGACAGCAGCAATGTGGGACAAGATTGAGACCAGAGAGACTGAGAGGCCGATCCATCTGCTCTCTGCAAATCAGCCCCGCAAAACAACTGGCCCTTTCATTAAGCCTCCACTCGCCACCTGCTGGGGAGCACACACACACACTTTCACTCCCGTGTTTCATTAAGTACATGTCAATTCTGGCAGACCTTATAAAGAAAGAAAACGCCGCCAAATTAAAAGTGTTCAGTCAGTGGTCAGTTTTATTTGACCTGAAGACATTTCACTTTGCTACTTCACTGTGATTTTTTAATTATTTTCCATAGGCAGAATTAGGTTTTATACCATAACAATGTTTGTGATCATTTAACAGCGGCCAAGAAATTTGGGATATCTGGTTTGAGAACAGCTAGGGTTGAATGATTGAAAACTGTTTCTAGTTTAAAATTGTATTTGACTCACAATTTTAATTTTAATTTACATAATTAATTAAACGTTTAAGCTGGTGATCACTTTAGACAACTGCCGCTGGTAAATTAATTTAGCTGTAGAAAATTAATGTTCTGTGAGTTTGGGCAAACACCAAATTCTTGGCTTTTTATGCTCTCTCTCTTCGGCTGCCTGTGTTTGTACAATTAAAACTTGGCCAAAGATGGTTTTTCGCAAGCAGAAACACCACGGAAAAAATAAAGAGTGGGTTGTGTCTGTTTGCTGTTCATGAAAGACCAACAGTGGCAGGTTTTTCTAGGTGATGGCCTCATGTCAGTTTCAGAGCGGTAGCTCGCAGGTAGCTCTGCAGTTGTTTGCAGAGCAGAAGCTCGCAGGTAACTCTGCAGTTGTTTAATACAAATGACACACAGCTGTCAGAATATCGAAGTTAATATTTTCAGTACATCATATCATTGTCTTAAGCTAGTCACCTAAAAGCCCTGAATTGATATGTCCAAGATTTGGGACAGTGAAGCAGTCTGTCTTGTTACTCTGTGATCGGTAGTTGAAGCAGCTACAGTGCAGATCTGTCAGCAGTTGCATTAGGTGTCACCAGTCCAGTGATGATCAACTATGTAGCTGTTGTCAGTAATCAGATTGTCGTGTTTGAGTGTTATGATTAAATTTGAATATTATTGCTTGTGTAAAATATACTGCCAATGCAATAAATGTGACCTAAATTAGTCAGGTTTTCTATAGAAAACTATGCAATTTATTTAAAAAATGATTTTTCTGTAACTGACAGGTTTAAACAAAACCTTGACCACAGATTTTAATTAACAGAAAATAACTAAAACTTAAATCACATCAAAATATTAGCTAGACCAAGCCCCAGGAGCTGTAATATTAGCATTGGTTCAGGAAGTTTTTTCCCACTCATGCCATATATTATGTTGTTTTTCTTTACAATGAAAGCTTTTTTCTAAGACAACAACTAAGAAGTTACTTTGTCATGACACAGCAAACTGTCAAAAGCTGGATTGTTTTGTCCATTACCTTTGGTCCACTAAAAAAAGATGATCTCTAAATGTAAATACTTCAGCGCTATAATGGGAAAGATGTGTTTCTTAAAGCGATCAGTTGTATCGTAAATTAAGGGATTTTGGGTCTTTCACACACGTGACACAGTGAGCCATAGAAGACTGCTGATTTATAATGCCCTTGGGCCAACATACATACTGTATCCATAACAGTTTTGTCCCCAACAGCCGAAGGCAATCATTTAGTTACTACTGTTCGTTTCTATTTTTTCCCCAAGTATCACTGTGTTTACATTGTATTACAAGGCTTTCTACGTCCTGACTTGAGATGATGATTATTGAGCAGCTGTCATCTAAGACTAATCCATGATGTGTTGACAATGTCATCAGGAACACAAGCAGACAAGTAGTGCTGTTCTGTGTAGGAATCAAATTCACAGGCTTTCATCTCGCATTGTGCCTTAGTCATTTTTGCACTGATATTAGCTTCCTGTTTGCACACAATAACAGGCAAATTTGTGTAAGGCTTTGTCACCTTAGTGGGAGTTGCACTGATAGCAATTGTTTGGGTATTAGCTGAATTTCGCCGCCACCTCTCGCTTGTGTGGATTATCAGCTTCCACTGGAGGTTCAGAGTACTGGGTTTTCTCTGAAATCCCCATAGTGACTCACAAGCTCATCAAGAGTTGTGAGCCGGAGATGGAGAGGTAGAGGCTCAATTGTGAAAATGAGAAAGTAGAGGAGGAGGCGGAGGGAGGTGAAAGTAGGATAGTGATTGTATGTGTTTGCGTGTGTATCTGTGATTAAGCAAGAGAATGAGATTTCTGGAGGTTGCATTGCTCACAAAAGAGTCAGATGAAAAAGAGGGATAAAAGGTACATAAGCAGATTTTTTTCCTCCAGATTAAAATACATCAGACATGAGGGAGATGTTAGCTTGATCAAAGACTCTCCCTATGGAGCTTGTTCACACTCTGCAGTTTATTACATTAACAAGGACCCATGACAGTCACTTCACCCTGTTTGTTCTAGCTGAAAGACTCTGGGCTTTCTCTGTCTAGGTGTGTCTCTGCTGGGAGAGTAAATATAGTTTTATAATTTTTGCTGTTCTCTGTATGGCTGAAAGCTTGAGAATGCTGTCAATTGAAGACTAATTTATTGCCATGAGGAGAACACTCTGGGAATGCTGTTTGGAAATGCTGCTGTGTTCGGATC